TGAAAAAGTCGCTGGGCAAAATATTAAATGATGCAGGAAGCCCCCAAAGAAGATGGATCACTGTACCAAAAGGAACTAGTCAACATTCAACCGTTTCAAGAGGTAGCATGAGATCACGAACCAATGGTCCTAAAGGAAGATGTCCCAGCTGCACTGAATGCATCAGGCAGAAACCAAGATTCTAGGAATTGATGGAATACCAATTGAAATGTTTCAATAAACTGATGAAGCACTGGAAGCACCTACTTATGCCAGGAAATTTGGAAGGTAGCTACTTGACCGACTGGAAGAGATTCATATATGTACTCATACCAAAAAAATGAGACCCAGCAGAATGCTAAAGTTATTGAACAACGTCATTGACAGCCCATGCAAGTAACACTGTGCTGAAGGGCATCCAACAACATTACAGCAGTACATTGACAGGATGCTGCTGAGTTCAGAAGAGGACATGGAACAAGGGATATCATGGCTGAGGTCAGAGAATATCAGAAACATGTTTATTTTTGTTTTATTGATTATGCCATGGCATTCAACTGTGTGGATAACAACAAAGTAAGGATAGCCTTGAGAAGAATGGGGATCCCAGAACACTTCATTGTGCTCATGAGGAACCTGTACCGGGATCAAGAGGGAGTTGTGAGAACAGAAAAATGGAATCTTGCATGGTTTAAAATCTGGAAGGTGTGCAGGAGGGTTGTATACTATCACCCTATTTATTCAATCTGTAGGCTGAGCAAATTATATGAAGAATGCAGCATTAGGATGGGAGGAAGGTTTGCATATTAACAACTTTAGATATGCAGGTGACACAACCTTGCTTGCTGAGTTAGTGAGGTGGACTTGAAGCATTTAATGAGGCTCCTACTGGCCAAATCTGGAACAATATGAGCATCAAATAATGTAGGATATGTAATACCCTACTGAATGACATAGAAATCAATGTGTACTTACTGATATGGACAAATAAAAGAATAAATTGGAAGTCTGATAAAAGGTAGAATATTACTAACCAACAAAAAAAGTATAGTTTTAGAGAAGCTATAATCATTGTATTCCCTTTGGAAGATCCCACTGTCATCACATCCATAGGCCCTTTTGTTTCAGATAATGTAACCTGCTGGCTTTGTCTGTGATTTGAAAATGTAAAGGCAGATATTTATGAAAGGGAGGACCTAGGGTGGTAATAAGAGCAGGAATTCCCCCTGGCTCATCCTAAGTGCAATATAATTAAAATAAGGTCATTGAGCGGGGAATCTCTTAGCCCTTCTTCCCAACTGCAGATAATTCCTGATTTATGATGGGGTACCATTCTGATGACTCCACCGTAACTCAGTTCTGATGATGTAAGTTGAATACCTTTAAAAAAAAGAACTATCATTCTTATTGCAGCATCTTTATAAATCTGATCTTTATTTTCCTTTGGGGATTGTCATGAGAATACATACTGCATATACACATGCTGCAACAATATAGGCAGCATACATACCTGGCTCATAAGATGTGCCAAAACCAAACCAAAACAAACCCCCCAAACAGAGTGGTTAGTGAGTCGTCCTAAGTCAGAGACGACATGTAATCGTCTACTCCTAACTGAACACATCTCCACGGCACTGCCTCCACACAGCTGGCAGTAAACATGGCAGAACAGAAAGAGGAACCCTTCCACAGCAAGGATCTGCTCGCTGCCCTGCTTCAGTTCTAGACAGTGCAGTTGTATTTTTCCATATATCTACAGCACTATCCCATAATACCACACGGGTTAAGGAATTTCCTATTCATCCAAATAAGGAGTATGCTACCTGCTGGCTGTATCGACAGATTGATGATGTAGGAGCAGGACGCTGTTTCTAGATCGCTTCCTCCCACTGTCACCTTCTCCGTATTTGGCAACCTTTCTTCATACACCCAAGCTTAGAATTATGTATACTTCAAAAACTGGCTCATGGGAAAAAGGAATTAAAAGAGAATGAAAGTGTCCAGGACCCATTTGAAGCCCCCACATACGTCTACAGGTTTCACTGAAAATTAAATTCCCACGTATATTTTTAAAGGGCTTAAAATTGAGTCATTCTAGTTTGACCTCTGCTGATAATTTGCAGTTCCACCCCAAACATATTGAATAAAGATCTACATTTTAATAAGATCCCCAAGATGAATCCTATGTTAGTATTTACATCATATTCTGGACAAATTTAAAGTTTACCTGGAGGCTGTCTCCAAAAATGGAAACTAATGCCCAGCCTATGTGGCTAGGTTTGTGTGTGAGTTTGC